AAAAATAGGGCGCCTGACAAACACTCGGACATTCGCGAGGTTCCTCAATAAGTCATGATCCTTCTAAAAACTCCAGCGCGTATGCTCTCAGCGTCGCTTGACTTCCGCTGTCGTAACAATAGTAAAAAGTATCAAACATACCGTTGGTGTGAACGTGCTTTGAAGTCACTATGAGAAACATTTATACACTGGCTAGGTGAAGTGAATAAAAAGTGTCATTGGCCACTATTCAGTTCTTCACAGTATATAGCCGCACAATAGCAGGTATAATAAATAAACTTAATATTCCGAAAATTGTTTAATTTCGAGGAGTAAGGGAAGTCCAGCATATTTCATGTTGAAAAGTGGCATAATATTCTTTAAAACATTAAAGAAAAGAAAATTTTGTCATGTTGTAAGTTTTATGTACAAGAACACCAAAAAACTGTGTTTCAAACCAATTAAATTTAATATTTAAAATTACAAAGTTGAAAAAGTAAATAATTATATCACACTATTTCAAAAAACAAAACAAAAAAACAAATAACTGCTTTAGAATGTGTAATATACTTCAGAATTCAATAAAATTTAGTAACCGAAGAACTTTCGAAAGGTGTATTTTCGTTGCTTTTTATTTTTTGCAAAAGAAGAATACACTATACTAATCTATGCCTTGTAGTAGTCTTTTAGGAATGCTTATACATATACTTAAATAACAATAACATCCCATGTTGAATGATTTCACCTTCCCCCACCCTAACAAAAAGTTAAATTCATTATAATGTGTTGGCCTTAAGCTTACATCAGGTAGTTATCGATTGTAAACTAGGATCGGAACGTTACTGTTACATTTAGTTATTTGTTTGAGGTGGGGAAGGTTCTCTATGTTATTTTATTTTATTTAAATTAAGCAGAGAAACTCAACCTCATAATCGCTACATAACAATATAAACAAAAGCTATCCATCATCAAATAACAAAAAGTAGAGGGCGTTTTAAATAACGGGTGGAGTTCCCTAGTGAGGTAAATTTAAATGTGAACTGAGAATGAGATATTGTTAGTATCAGTAGTTCGTAAACTAATTTTTTTTATTTGATTTCATTCGTAAGTTTGTGATTATACGCATATATACTCTTTGTTAAATGCAACCTATTTTAATGTATACTTATTATATTAAATTTCATTTATTATTATCCTTTCTAAGTATATTTCAAAGTTGTATATGTTTAATTTGTTTTTAATGTTTGTTTATCAGTATTACTCTCATCTCAGAATTGTGTACACTGTTAGTACTAATAGTAATACTAATACTGAAGAAATAGTAATAGTTATACTATAACTTATAGTAGTATTATTCTGTATTACTATTATTAATACTAATAATATACTATTATCCCTAATCCCACTTTTAATCTTATTGATTTGAATAATTGTACTAGTGTTACTGTTAGGCCTTTCGTTTATTGTAATTTAAATTGTATTTTGTAATATAAATATGTAAACGTTTTACTTTTAGTTAGTGTGTTGAACCTAACATTATTTGTGTAACTTGTAAGGTTACGCCTGGTCTAGCTGTAAAGTGTACTAGTAATAGTAGTACTACAACAATTTAGAAGCTGTAACTTGTAAAGTAACTGTAGTAAAAGGGCTGATATTAAGTAATAATGATAATTAAGAAACAAGTACCGGGAGGGGAAAAATCGATCATTCCTCTATTTTCCTACTGTAACATAGTATGCAAGTTACTTGTAAGTATATTTAAACTGACTATTTTGTTCATGAAATCAAGTTATATTCTTTTAAGAAGAGTTCAAGAATTTGAAGAAATACAATTTATAAAGTAATATGTCTTGCATGGATAATGTTTACTGTTACACATCGGATATTTCTACTTCTACTAGAAGTTCTAGTCTAATATCAGCATTGTTTCAACAAGAAGAAAACAAACATATACCAATTTTAAATTGCGTTTTACCAATGTGCCAGCCTTAGGCTTACAATTTAGGCAGTTATACTTATAGATTGTAAACTAGGGTAGAAACATTGCTGTTGCATTTAGTTTTTGTTTGAGATGGAGAAGAAACTCTTTGTATAATTTTATTCAAATTAAATATAGAAACAAACCCCAGTTAGTTTGCCTTTCCTTACAAGATAGAAGAATTTCTTGAGATTGTATATGTTAGAGGCATTTTCAGTTTTGTTTTTAGTGTTAAGGAGAACACAATATTAATGCTTATTTTAAAAGTTGTTAAAGAGTTAATAAGCAGTAATTTCCTTAATTATAAGAGCATAATTATAAGGATAATGATTGTTAACATAGCTTGGAGTAAATGGATGGTTTAGGAAATGATAGACTTCTTAAGTAAATGTTGGAATCTTGCGTGTGTGTACGTCGCAGATCATTTACAGGTATCTAATAAAGCTGCTTCATGATTTTGTTGCCTTATTAACCTTTATTCATAAGTGCTATTTCATTGCTGTTATCAGGTTTTAATATAACTACTAGGGGGGGGGGGGAGTTGTGCTTTGCATAAGAAACTTTTTTGTTTGTGGTATTGTGTATTTGAATGTACAGAGTTTATACAATGTAAAGACGGTGCTGTGTATTTTAAAGTAATTAAAACAGTTAAGTGACCTGCATAGACTACACTCGTAAGAGGTTAGATACATAGAGTTCTGAATGAATCTTGGGCATCTCAGTGACTGCGACATTAAACCTATTCCATGACACATGATACCCACAAACACTTCTAGTACAGAAGACACTTTGAGCTGAATGGACTGATCAATTTGTCTAGTAAGAGATGCCAGATCTGGCAACACTTTTAAAACCTGGGTATAAGAGGGCAAATATTCAAATTCTGTGATATTACCTCTGGGTCTGTACTAAACAGGGTGACGGTACTGATACTCATAAGTGTCTATAAACAAATGAAAAAATTCACACGTAAAACCTTAATGCATAAATTCTGAGGGATAACATATCCATTCCCCAAATAACTTTTCCTTTGCAATGCATCCACCCCTCCCTTACGTAGGTGATGTTGTCCTTACTTCTCATTTTATTTTTTCATAGTTTAAGGAAGTTTGAAAAGATTCCCACACATGCACATTATTTTTAATTATATAAATTGTATCGATTTTTGTTATATATTATTAAAAAAAGGAGAATTGTTAGCAATAAAGAATCTGAGAACAAATTAATAAAATACTTATATTAAAACCATACTAATTTATTGAACTTACTGGAGTATTTTGATACAGCATCTGTTTTTTTTGTTGTTGTTTTTTAATGAAGATGCTTAAAATGAACTATCTTCATTGATTTTCGAAAACAAAATTAGAAATAATGGAATTTGTTCAAAAGTTAAGAAGTAGATAAAACTCTTCTTGTTAGTAGGTAAATGAGAACTTCTCAGATTTGAAGACCAGATCTGTAGTGATAGGTTGGTGGGTTTTTGTTAGTTCTGTTTATATAGTGGTGTTATACAGTATAACTAAGGTTATAATATTCCACCGCCAAAGGTGACTACCTTTTCTGTGGACAGTAGAAGACTTCCTAGTAGACTATGTTTGAAGATGAGAGTTGTAAAATATAAGAAATGTTTAAGGGACTTCACGTTATTTTACTTCTTGACTGAGTGGGAGTTTAAAGGTGCTGCCAAATAATGTTTCATGTGTTCTTTCCTGATGAATTAAATTCCAAATTTGGATATTCAACTCGGTGTTTAGTATTATAAAATTTCAAAATTTATCTTTGAGGTTTATATGATACGAATAAAAAGTTATCCTCACATCATATTTAAAGGTTTAACAGTTTAGGTTCTGGTATTAATAACATATTAATTACAGTACTTTGTTTTTATTTATTGTTTGCTACAGAATCATAAAGGAAACCAAAGTTGTTCCGTCAGAAGAATGTCGGGAAGAAGGTAAATAACAAGGATTTAATGTTGCAATATTAACAAGCACGCGTATGAGAACACAGCAGTATGAAATTGTCTCTTCATGTGACATATGTGTCTTAGAAATAATGATTTTTTTTCATCATATTTAAAGTGTTTACCAAATCATTTCAAAATTAGCACAAAATAACACAGAATGTCCAAAAAGTCTGAAATTATAGATGATTTGTAGCTTTTCTTAGTTTCACATACTTGACTAATTAATGGTGCTGTAAAAGCATGAGTAGGTTGAATTAATCCTACTATTAACCCAAACTTGTTTCAAATTACAAGGACATGATGTGGAACACATTCTGTAAAATTCATTGAAGTGCCAATGGTTCAGACTTTTTGGACACCCTGTATACTGTACACAAGGCTTAATAGATTTAAAAGGTTTTAATAACTTGGTGCCTTTAACAGTATGAAACTTGTTTACACTGTTTCTCGTCAGTCTCTAGTTTTTTATAAACACTAATAAAAACTAATTTTAATAAACACATGAATAATTGCATTGTTTCTCCTTAAATACTCATTTCACTAGTATGTTTGTTTTTTGTAAGTTCAATTTTGAATGGTGTTTTATTGTTTTAACAAGATCAGTTTTTTATATAATATATAGGATATAATAATTCTTGTGTTCATTTGTTACTATTAGCGAAAATATACCAAATAAAAGTACCAGTATCAGCTGCTAGTTGACACTTCTGAAAATATCAATAAACAACTTGAAAGTCAAGGTTTTAAGTTGTTTTTTTTCTTTAAACGTAAAATTAGTTTTTTTACAATATATATAGAGGATAATATAATTATTCCTTGTCTTTGCCCACTCCACCCCAGTGGCTCTATGATAAGCTTCAGAACTTATAATGCCTAAAAATCAGTTCAATTTTTGTAGCAGACATAGCACAGATGGTCCATTGTGTAGCTTTGTGATAAAACGAACTTGTTTTCTTCATTTGTTACCATTGCAGAAAATATCAATAAACAACTTGCAAGTCAAGGTTTTATGGTTTTTTTAAATAAAATCAGATTCTGTATAATAAATGAGGTATAATAATTTCTTGTTTGTAACTGCTACCATTGCAGAAAATATCCCAAGTCAAAGATACCAGTACTGACTGATAATAGAAACTCAAATGAAAATGTCAAAAAATCACTTGTAAGTCAAGGTTTCAAAGAAGTAATTTCCAACGCTTGTGCTCGTAAGCCGGTAACTCGGGTAGGTGGCAGGACAAAGAAAGAGAAGATTAAGGAAACTAATAATAAAACATCAAAAGCTAAAGCATCGGAACAGTCAAGGAAAAATGCAAAATCACTTCTGGAGAAACAAAAAGGCAAGATAGTTTATCGCTTCTTTTTTGTTGCCGTTACATTTCATTAGTAACTTCAGAAAGATTTTTAATTTATATTATTTTAATGCTGTTAAAGTTTTTTATGTATATTTCTGAAATAGTAATAACTCTCTGAAGAAATATTGTTAAAGTGGATAGTATACATTAATATAACTAATATATATCTAATATTAAATGTAGTAGATAATAGTTACTTAAATCAATGGTACCCAACCTTTATATGCCACATAGCCACAGCGTACCTCTGATGCATTTAATTTGTAAAGAAAAAAACAACAATTTAAGAGTGCTTGATATTAATAGAAATGGTAAATGAAAATAAATATTCAAGGGTGAATCGACAACGTGTGAACACAATGCTGGCTAACGGAACATGTTTGTAACTTGCATCAAAAATGCCATCCAATTTTGAGGCACTGGTTTTATTTTCTTTTTAGTGTTTTTTTATAAAAGTGCTGGCAAATCATTACCACAGATTGGCAACCACATGGAACATTCTTGTGTTATTTGTTTGTTGTTGTTTTTTTAACCAGGTCAAAAATCCATAAAACGTGGTGATAAGTTTTCACATCATATCTTGAAGTATTAACTTTTTCATATTTTATTGTTTTATAATTTAGAATTGGGTTAAAAGAGTCCAAAGCCAGCACAAAAAGTGAAACTGGTTTTGATACAACTACCAAACTGGTTGTCAAATTTAACCTATTTTGACGAGTGTCGATTGTTCTTTGTAAACCTGGCCAAAACTTGGATATTTCAACATAAGTAATAACCAGCAGTATTTGAATTAAGAGTTGTAACAGACTTCCAATAGATATCCCATCATGCTCTGAGCCACATTAACTGCATTTATTGCTCTTGTCTGGTTTATTCAAGGAAAACAAAGTTAACCCTAGTCTGTGGGACACGAAGAGACTCAACAATATGTTTATTATAAAATAATTCTGAGTTCTTTGACTTTGACTGAATTTGAAAAAGAAAGAGAATGAACACAACGTAAAAAATACACAGTCAAGACGATCATTATTTATACTAAAAACAAAAGCAAACACAGAATGATGGACAGTGCCTTTACTGTACAGTTAACTCTCTGTGTTCTCTTTAGAACTTATAAATATTAGTTAACGTTACAGGTTGAACTTTAGGATAGTGTTACTATTTACAAAAGAAGGACTTTAAATTCACTTAGTAAACTGAGAGCTTGAGAGAACTAACTAACTAAGAGATCACAGTAGTATATACTAAATATCTATAACGGTACATTCTCAGGTCATATGCGCTACATATGTCACTGCTGACAAATCCATTGAAACATACAGGAGTTCGTAATTACCACACTCGTCGTAACCCGACCTACCATTGGAAGACACTAACATCAACATCCTCCAGTGAGAATGAGTATTATCTACTTGAGAATGATAAAAACAAAAGTAACTGGAATGAGACTAACTTAATGACTTTCGTGACGATATTATTATGTGAAATCTGAAAATATACAGGATAAATAATAAATTCAAAATAAATACTCTAATGCTGCAAGAACATAGAAATGCGTGGTATATTCAGAAACAAACTTATAAAACCTTTTTACTTTTCAAATTGCGAGTAATATGATTGTTTTCTAATGTTTCCATAGTGCTTTAAAATTGGAAATATCACAGAAAAAAATCAATCGACTTTTGACCAGGAAATTGAAAATGCTGAACAAAGGAAGGGTAAAAAAAATCTTGAGTGACGTTACAGTGAAAGAAAGCACTGTTGTTTCATCTTCACATAATGGAGGCCTTGATATTCAACTATAATAATTTTAGCTTCTTTTTTTTTAGTAAATTCAAATTCTGTTTTTCATATGTTACATTCTCCAGTTTTTTCACCAATCTAGGCCTGGTTAAGTAATGAATCTGTGGTTAAAAAAACTTTTTTACTAATGAATCATTATTATTATTTTTATTTTTTTTAAGTAGATCAGGTTTTGAAATAACAGTCTTATAACTGAATGGTGTCTATCACGATACTTGATTACTTCCTTGTTCATTTCATGTTTGTACAGATGTCATTTCTCTTTACAGAACAACTTCAAGGATTTACTTTTGAAACTGATGAAAATGCCTTTCAGACTATCAAACATGGGGGACTACCTGATCCTAGAATGGGCGTAAATATATATTTTTTCTCATCAATAAAATGTTTTTCTCTTGTGTAATTTAATACAAAGAATTTAATATGCTATATTAAAATGATTTTGGAGCTTCATCACATTGTTACAGTCTATTGTACCCTTGTCTACTTTGTTTACCATGGCTGAGGTATGATTTGTGGATGGTCTTGCTGCCCCATGTTGATCCATAGTTCTTTGTTTTCCAGTGCTATTAGGCCCGGCATGGCCAGGTGGTTAAGGAGCTCGACTCGCAATCTGTGGGTCGAGGGTTCGATTCCCCGTCCCACCAAACATGCTCGCCCTTTCAGCTGTGGGGCATTATAATGTGATAGTCAATCCCACTATTCGTTGGTAAAAGAGTAGCCCAAGAGTAAGCGGTGGGTGGTGATGACTAGCTGCCTTCCCTCTAGTCTTACACTGCTAAATTAGGGATGGCTAGTGCAGATAGCCCTTGTGTAGCTTTGCACAAAATTCAAAACAAACCAAACCAATGTCATTGTGTACAAGGGATGTCCCCTTCTTGGAAATTCTAAATCCCTAATCTAGACATGCCATTACGATCTTAGTGTATGAATATATTGCATTGGAAAGGAATGTTACATACCTTTCCCAAAAGCATTCAGTTTTTGCTACAATCACACTACCTATGAAATGCCAAGTAATGTGAAAATGTAGTTTTGATACACGCCATTCCAACTGTATATCAGCTGTGATTGTGACATGGCTTGCTTATTTGTATATTCAAAATCATTTTAATATAATGTACTTAACCATGCAGTCTTAAGGTATTAATAAATAAATATCCACAAAACTTCAAAAACTTTGTGCTTGAATATATTAATTTGTAGGAAAGTATGCTATTTCTTATTCTGATTGTTGTTTTGAAAAGGCTTAACATATTAAAAACATGTTCATTTTGAAAAGGCTTAATGTGATTCAGGAAGGTAAAAGGATCAGGAAACAATAACATCAGAAGAATGACTTACCAGTTTTTAGGATGTGTTTATAGGAACTTTAATGGTGACATGTATAACACTTTGTTTTGAAACAATGTCTGCTGATGGTAGGTGGAAAGTTTATCTTTGAAAGGAATTTTGTTTTTTTATGTCTGCTTTTTTTTTCTTCATGAAAATTCTCAAAGCTGAGATTCTTGTAGACTTGCAAGAATATAAGTAATTATTGATTGACTACCTGTTTGGCAGAGATAACTTGGCAGTGTTGACAAAGTAATAAGTGATATTAGAGGCTGGTTTAAAGGTTAACATTTCTGAGCCTAGAATAATTTCTAGCTTGTGAAATGAGCTGTTAAAGTGGCTGATAAATCATGAATTGTACTTATGGTAATGATATGAAGAACCAACACAATTATTCAGGCAAAATCTGTCTACTGTAATCTTGAGCACGCAGTTTTCATTATAAATGACAATTTAAGTGCCGAAAGCTGGCAAAGCACTAAAAAAACCAATAGGCTTAAAGTCTGTGATAAAAAAAAAAAAAAATACACTGACAAGTTCTTATATTGGACAAAAGTTTCCAGGGTAGTGGAATCCCAGAAAAGTAATATGAAATTCTATTTTATGTGCTTCTGATTTTGAATCCACTCTGTAGAAATTAAGAGGAATGTGGGAAATAAACCATCTCTAGTTGATGAGATTTTTGTCACAAATTTTAGGCTTGTTGGTTTCTAATATTTTTGCCAGCTTTTAGCATTTTAAACTGATATTTTAAAGTATTATATGCATATATATAAATGGTGTTTTAAATAATATTTTTCTCTCTCGTGGTCTGGGAGCAACTAACAATTTCTGGTATTGAATGAAAGGCCTCTTGGGCAGTGGCTTGTAGGACACAAAAGAATGATCTGAAATGTTATTTTTTTTACATTGATTACACGGTGAAGTGTTAAAAAAAAAGAACATTTACAGTTAACTATGATTTTTATCACAAACCCTGGGCCTGTTGGTTTCTTCATTTATATTTAGTGTTAACAGCATCGCTATACTCAAGCATATGTTCTTTCATAAATCTTAAACACATGATTCTGCTCATAAAGTGTCCATATACTAGAGCTTCACACTTGAAAAATTAAAAGCAAGAAACACCTAATAGTGAACCATTGGATAGATGTGCAATTTTTATTTTCAAACACAAATGGCAGAGGGAATACTTCTGGTAATACAGTGTATTTATATCTAAATACAAATGACGGAGGGTTTTTAATTGTTTATTGTTCATTTTGTCAATGTTTTTAAATCTCATCATATAACAAGATATGGTAATTTGATTTTATCTGTATTTTTATATTTAGTTGTACAAGTCACCAGCTACTCCAAATCAATATAAAAATCAAAGAAAGGGTAAGACTATTTTCGTTTTATGAAATTCTCTGTATTTTACAATATGAAGTTTGTGAATTTAGTTACCAATAATTGAATGGGACAAAACATATAAATAATTTGTTGTACGTGTTATTAGAAAAACATAAGAATTTGGAATAAAGCATAATTCTTTTTTACCAAATTTTAATTGCTGCATTTTAAAGACATATTATGAATTTAAACTTGATTTTTTAAATAATGAAGAAAATGCATGTATGTGGCTATAAACATTATGTTATTAATGTGCTTAGAATTTTGTCAAGAACTTCAGTAAGCCATACCTGTATTACCTGACTAAGAGATAAAAGATTGTGACTAGAGCAGCAGATTACACAACAGACTCACTATCTGTCATTTCTTTTCTTCTACTTTAGGATAGTCTATTAAAATTAATATTTACGGATATGTCGTGAGGAAAAGCAGAGACTCGCCCTGTTACTTAGCCTATATGAATTTGTTATACTTTGAATTGGTATTGAACGTAATGTTTTAGATTAACAGCAGGTGAACCTTCAGCATAGAGATGCTGCATTATCTTAAGTCTAGCATAAAAATAATACTGTGATAAAAGTTTTTTTGTGTGTCCACTGCCTTTTTTTTTTACTATTTTCTACAGTTTTTTGGCAAGAAAGCTAATTGATCTTTGAGTTCTAAGGCTTGGTTTGAGGGTTTTTGATTTTCATAGTCTGTTTCTAGTAAAGCATGGCAAGTGACCTTTTGTCCCCACTTCATGTAGACTTCAATTAAATTGTTAATATTTGTAATATCTAGAACAAACATACATCATTATTATTTTGTTAAATTGTGAGTTATCGCAGTAGCTTTGCATCAATAAGATGTAATCATTTATCTTCTACTTATGTAAAAAAACAAAAATTATGATGATAAATCTTCTCTATTCTTCCTGCCAACACAGCTTTATGGCAAAACAAATTTGGCGACTACAAAATATCTTACTGATTTTAATAATAGGATATTTGCTTTAATGAAAATTACTCTCACTTCACTGTTTTTATTATTGAGTTACAAATCAGTTTATAGTTGCTTTGAAATAAATATCGCTTTATGCAAACTTGTGCAGTTTATTAATGCAAGTTTGTTTGTTTCAAATAGTTTTACTGAAAACAATTACTGTTTTGATAATTGTTATTTTAAGGAATTATATAAGGTAGAAAATGTTTATTTTCATTTGCAGCATAAGGAAGCGTGCGTGAATTTTTATGATATTTCAACAAAAAGAATGTTGGTCATAAATTTAATTGAACTTGGGTATTTTCTTTCCCTAGCTACACCTAAAAAGACACCAACTTTATTTTCTGGTCGACCATCGGTATATCAGACATACAAACCAGTTTTTCTAAATTCAGAAAATCTCAAATCATCGGTGCTGCTGAAACCCGAGGCTGGGCCGTTAGCTCCTGAACAAACGGTACCTGCAGAAAGGGTAATTATGGTTTTTAGCTCCTGATGTCCTCATGAACAGCAGCACTATCTATATCAACCACTTTCTTTCGACCCTATTCAGACCATTTAGCACCTTTTGAGCTTTGAGTGCACACTGAATATCAGATTCAGAATTTAATTCTAACTCTGTTTCAACAATTTTCAAACTCAAAAACATTTTATATTTGATATTTTCTTATCTATTTAGTGTAATTTGCAAAAAAACATTAAAAAGAAATTCCAACTTTCATTTCTGAGAAGTCTCACTTGTAAACAATATTTTTATCGTTTTGTTTGGTATATAATTTGCTGCCCATTTCAAAATAATAGGTTTATATTTACTAAAAACTATCATCTCTTGAAAATATTATGATTGTTTTCGTGCGACTTTCCTTCTATGTTGGTGGTTTTATTAGTATAGCTTTTCATTACCACCTTATATGATGTCGCAGCATGTGGTCTGAACACTTGTAAATGAAGCTCGGCTAAGAAAAGAACTAGAACCAACAGATGGAAGTATTCCATCAAAAAGATTATAATCTGTCTGTATCAGTGAAAAGTAAAGGACTTTTTCTTGTTGTTGTTTGAGATATTGGCTACCTGGAGCTCCTGTAGGAATGAACAGAGGATCGAATAGGAAGTTCACAAGACTTATGAACAAATTATAGACCTATTTTATGGTTTATTTAGATGTTCTTTTCATTCCTGAAAATGTTTTTTGTTTAATTATGTCAGTTTTAAATGCTACAGAAATTTCCTTCTATGACAAGACATCGGGTAAACTTATTTAGGTTTAGAGGGTATTGTAAATGGGGACAAAATACAAATTGCTTCTTTTTTAAATGTTTTTGTTAATCATATTAAAGCTTGCACATAATTAAGGACTACCACACCATGATTGACATGTGGCTACCATCTGAGCTAAAAGGTTAGCCTTCTACTGCTTGCCACTTCATTGTAAGACACTTTTTATCAACTCAAACTACTACACTGCGACTTAGATGTGATTGCTCAAGTTCTTTATTAAGGTGAAAGTTTTATGTTAGTGTTTTGATTTTATATATGACTTTTAATTACTCGGGTAAAAGAACAGTAACAATTTACCCCCCTCTCCTGTATCTATGCAACTGACTGTACATTTTTAAGAATACAGAATATAACACAAGTATATTTTTATATTAAAAGTTCCTTAAGGTAGATTACATGTCAACTTTACAAACTTGAAAACACTTAACTTTTGTTAAATGGTTTCTCGTGGACTACTCCAGCCTCCTGTCTGGATTTGGAGATAACAGTTAAGGAAACATTGTCTCCATGATGAAGAATCAGTTCTACTGTTGAACATTTCAATACACTGCCTAAAGGAATGATATCTTTCATTTTGTGTAAATATGTATGTGCTTTAAATATATATATATATATATGTATGTATAAAATTGTATTTAATAGTTTACTTTTTATTTCTTATCCTGTAATGGTTTTTAATTTTTCTAAATACAAGTTATGATAACATGGTTTTATATCTATGTTGACATTTTAGCAATACAAATCACCAGCTACATACAACCAGCAGAAAGGCCAAAGAAAAGGTGAGATTATCTCTCCATTCCATCATTTTTCAAACTAGGGTCCGCAGTGGTACTGCAAGTCATGTTTGGAATTTCATCAAAATATTTTTGTAAAATTTAAATTTATACGAATTAAAACATTGCATTTTGGAATACAACTTTTCATGTACGCAATCTTTTTGCAAAAAAGAAAAACATAGATAGATTTGGAGGTTTGCAAATAAAATTAAAATAGGTCCTTGGGTTACCACAGTTTGATTACTGTTGCTCTGTTTTATAAGAATTTTGAGGTGGTGCTGTAGTGCTCTCCTAAAGGTGGTTATAGCACTGTTACTTTTAATAATATCTATACCAAGTTTTAAAGTTTATGCTATAGATTTCTTGAATGGAATATTACAACTAAAACTAGTTTTAATGAGTTACCTTAAGGTTTTGTTTCTTCAGACTACTAACAAGCATTACCAGTCATTCAACTCATTTTACTTTAATTTTGTTTTTGAAAAATTAACATTTTTGAAGTGCTGTCAGACATTTTGTTGATAGTAGATAATTGAAATTTTCCTCACCCATAAACCATGTGATGTTAAAATACAGTCTACTTCAAATAATAACCTATTTATGACCACCATCATTTTTATACAATGTTTTTATATTCAATATTTAGTTCTGTTTAGTGAAAAATCACATAAGTTATATCTTCTCTTGACTTAGTCCCTAATCTTTAGTGTTTCATGTTTTAGAGAGTAATTAAACTCTTCCTAAGCAAATTGTTAGAAGACATTCATTTAAAATTTCTAATATAAACTCAAAACATTTCAAGCATTCCTTGTTTTACAAACAGTTTAAAGTATTTCATTTTTTAAACGACATAGTTAATTTGGATTTGAGATGTTTAAACAAAAAATCTGGATAAAGCAGTGTTATTTTTGTGACTGATGATGTTTTATGTGTATAAGTTTGTCTGTCGTATATATATATATATATACATAGCTACACCAAGAAACACCCCTTCTCCATTTTGTGGCCGACCTTCAGTATACAAGACTTTTAAACCAGTGTTTCGAAACTTTGAAGATATCAAATCGTCAGTCGTGTTGCGACCCGACGTTGACCTCCCAACTTGCAAACAGACTCCAGAAAAGGTGACTATACATAGATACTGAATGTTTCTTTCATTGTAGACACTTAACTGAAAAGACAAGTTGCTGTGTATTCTTATGTGTAAAATCATTCTATTAAGAATCATTCAGGGCAGATTTCTTGACTTATTATGTGTGCCTAAATGACACACACACACACACACACACACACACACACAC